TATATTGATATTATATAATATATATATTATATATATAATATATATATATATATTGTCCATATATATATGTCCATATATATATGTGTATATGGACATAATTATTGCCTTGCTGCGTTATTGACAGTTGTCATAGTGACCAAATGTCCCATCACTGCCAAGTACCACCTGTGGCCTAGGCAACAAAGCAAACAGTGATGTTAAAATTTGCCTCTGAGCTGAGGCCCTGTACACACGTAGCCGGATATCAGGAAAACCGAATAGTTTATCATGCGGTGTGGCCTTTCATCCACACGTGAACTCCGGTTGATGTAACTATAAACGAATAATAACAAAAACTCCGACCAAAGTGGAGATTTGAGAAATCTCCTCTTTCGGGTTTGCGTGTGGACTTTCGGAACCGGAGATATGCGCATTATGTCTGCGACAGATGGTGCAGCGCGGCGCTGACGTCACATGTGCGACAATTGTTTTTGTTTGCCCATTCATTCGGAGGGAAAATGACTGCGTTTAGGGAAGTACTAATTGTAACGCTGGTTCAGGCAATTTTTGCTTGCTTGTTTTTACAAGCACAACTGCTCCAACAGATGGAATTACAAAGGAGAAAAAGCGTTTGGCGTTCAGCTCTTTTACAGCAACTATCCCTACCGATACGGAGGCACAATACCGCCATTCAGCGTCGCCGTCGCCGGTTTTGGATCAGACCTGGACGCACTGCTGGCTGGTGGGAAAACTTTGAGAAGGAAATTGTTCTCCCACAGGAATGGCGTGAGAACTTCAGAATGTCACGGTCGTCATTACTGTCGCTCTCGGAGTTACTCCTTCCTTACATTCAAGGGAAGAGTACTGTAATGCGATCTCCAGTCTGTGTGGTCAAAAAAGTTGCATGCACGCTATATTATTTGGCTGACGAGGGAAGACTGCGTAAAACGGCCAATGCATTTGGCTTATCAAGACAAGTAGTCTCAAACATAATTAGAGAGGTGTGTAAGGCTATAACTGTGTACTTGGGACCATCTTACATAAAAATGCCAACAACAGAGACTGCTGTGCGTGCACTTGTTGAGGGATTTGAGCAGGCTTATGGTCTCCCTCAGTGCCTTGGAGCTGTGGATGGGACTCATGTGGAGATAAAGCAGCCATCAGCTAATTCTACAGAGTACCTAAATAGGAAGGGGAGGTTTTCTCTTAACATACAAGCCACCTGTGATTACAAGTACAGCTTTATTGATGTAGTTGTGAAATGGCCAGGGAGTGTGCATGATGCCAGAGTTTTTGCTAACTCCACAATAAACACAAATCTGAAAAACATGAAGATTCCCCCCTGTCCAAGACAAATTGTGGAGAACGAAGACGCTATACCCATTTACATACTGGGTGACCCTGCATACCCACTTCTACCTTACCTGATGAAAGAATATGCTAACGGAGGAAGCAATGTTCAGGAGCAGTACTTTGGACTTTCGTTGTGCCGAGCTAGAATGGTGATTGAATGTGCATTTGGAAGACTAAAAGCCCGATTTGGAGCCCTGAGGAGAGCCATGGACATCAATATGAACGATCTTCCATTTGTTATATATGCATGTTTTGTGTTGCACAATTTTTGTGAGGCATCAAAAGACACTGTGGATGAAAACAGAATAACTGAAGCTATTCAACATGACAGGAACAATCAACCGGACACACAGCCAGTGGTCAGAGGAGACAGCTTGGCAGCAGAAGGAAAGCGGGTCAGGAGAGTCCTCACTCAGTGTCTGGATCCATAAACACAAAAACCTGTGAACTATTTAGCAGACTGCGTTGTTTTTTCATAAAAAAACGTTATAGTTAGCACCATGTATGTTAGAGAATTTTTAAATTGTTTTGTGCAATGTTATTGCATTTCATTCTCTTAATGCATGAAAAGCTACCACCCAGGATTTAGATACATTATATAATAGTTTGTAGCTCATTAGACAGACTTTTAAGTGAAATGATTTTACTTTTCTCTCTTAAAATTGGACCTGTAGTGTATTAAATAGTGCTGCCAATACTTTCTGATGAACATGACTGTATTTGTAACTGATAAATGTCATATTCACAAAAATTCACATAAAGAAACTTGCTTTTAAAATGTTTGTCAATTTATTCAAACGAACACACTTAACATGTTCTTATTTTGTGTTTCATTTATGAACAGATCAGATTATAACAGATCTACAACAGATAAAGCTTTTTAAACATGGGAGAAAAGCAGCACAGTTACTGTACACTTTTAAATCAGTGATGCCCAAGTCCATAACTTGGGAGCTACCACAGGTACATTTCAGCTGCATTTTCTTCAACAAACCAGTATGAAATAGCTGATTTCAATCATCAGTATGTATTTGATAGTGGTGTTTTGGAGAAATACATCTAAGTAGCAGTAGCTCCCAAGGACTGGACTAGATCACCACTCTTATAAAGATTCACGTAACAAAAATGTAAATAGTTAAAGTATTGTGCAATTGCTACATTTTAAGCTTTTCACAGTATGTATAAAAAGATAGCAAACAGAAAAAAAACACTGTCAGAGTAAATAACACTGTGATTAACAACCTGACATGTGTGCAACCTTGTGCAAAAGTGGAACTTGTATATACTTAACTGTACCAGACTTGTTTCGATGTATAAAACAGTACTCTACTGGTCATTAAAAAGGGCCTGACTGAATGAAAATTGGTCAGTGGCTTCAGCAGGTGTGTGGAACACAGCTTCAGTGTTCATAGTGTTTCCTGGTCTTGTGTTTTGACGTGTTCTGTCAGAAGTGGAGTTGTTTGGGTATGGGTAATTTGCTGAGTTTTGGTGGACAGAATGGTGGGCCATTGTGTGCGAATACATCGGACCTCTTGGCTCATATGGCATGTAGTGTGGTGGTTGTGCAGGTGCATGAATGACCTGTTTCAGAAGAGAAAACCCATCAACAATCGATGTGGTAAGTCTTTCCAGTGTATTGGACATTTTTGAATAGTTTTCGGATGCTTTTTGTTCTGATGTCTCAATGATTTCCACCAGTCTCTTTTTCACACGCTGGTCTTCCTCAAGAGCATTCAGCCACTGGGTCTCAGCAGGCAGCTTTCTCCTCAGACGGTCGTGTCTGTGTCCTTTTAGTTTTGCCTTCAAAAGAGAAATGAAAATCATCACAATTAAACATAAAAAAGTAAACCTGGATCATGTTGATGTTGTACTTTTCACATCACTTCTACATAACAATATGTAATAACAGCGTATCCAATGTTTGCTATATGTCTTAAAGTGTATTTTGTACCCACCACCCCATCAAACTAATGAATATGTAGGCCTAACATAATATGAGATGAGTAAGAGCATGATGGTGTCATTTCTTTTTTGCAATAATAATAAAAATAAATCAGCAACCCGTACACAGTAAAATATAAAAAACATCACATTCCAGCCTCCACTACACACCTCAACTCTTGCATAATTTTTAACACACATATTGCCTTAACTGTATTTTTAATAGCAACACAATTCAACAAACCTGTTCCGTGAATTATAGTACATCCAACAGATGAACATTTACAGCAAAAGTACTTTTATTTATGAGGAATGGACAGAAAAATATACGTACATCAAGCAGGTCTCTCCTCTCCTTTGAAGTAGGACCCACACTGCTTTCATTATCAGACCCTGTGTCTGCTACATCCATGGTAGTGGAGGAAGAAGATGTGGATGGTGAGGGTAGGGTCCGAGAATGATCCAGGTCAGCTGTTTCAATACCGGAGGATATGGTAGTACTAGCTGGAGAGCCACCCCAGATTTGTTCGCACAGTTCGAAGTACAGAAGAACCACTCGACCGTGTCCACTCCTGCGTCCTGTATCAACAGCATGGCGATATTTACCTCGGACTGCTTTCATTTTTGTTGTTAAATTCCCGCGCGTGATGTCGGCATGTGAATGGGGAAACTCGTCGGAGGACTCCGTTGGGTAATGCTCTAAAAAAAGCGCTAAAATATCAACATACTTGTTCTGACAGGATTCCCAGTCGACATTTTCCTGAGTTTTATTAACTTTGTACTCCAACACGGTATTTAATAGTAGTTCAACCTCGCGGTCTGTCCACACAAACGAACCTCCAGGCGCCATGATTCAATACTAACAGGAAGTTGTGGTTGCTTTGAAGGGTTGTGATTTGCTGATATACGTTTCACCTTTGCACTACACTGCCTCCTATGGGTTGGGCATATTCTTTACAACGCTCTGTGGTGAACATCACCGGGTTCATGTAGACGATCATTTTCTCTATCCGAACATGTATGTACGGCGATATTTTTTTGCGCGGATATTCGTTTTTTCAAACACCAGGCTACGTGTGTACAGGGCCTGAGACTGTTGCTGCTCTGATGGTGGTTCGGAGAAAGTACTACTGACACAATCATGCAAACACATACATCACCTGCTGTTAATAGGCCTTAACCCAGACCAGCCAGGGGATGACTGAGCAAGCAGTCAACCCGTTAGCTTAGATTCACTTTTTCCACAAGAGGGGCTTCTTAAGATTTGCTGGCAGTGATTTCACTGCCAGCAAACTGCTATAAAGTGTAGTGTTTATTTAAGAAACAGGACAAGACATGAACAGAGAGAAATGAAATGTCTTCCATTAAAGCTAAAACAGTTTTTTAACTAAATGACCAATAACTTTTGTCTACATTAATACATTTGGATTTGCTTTGTCTTTCTTCAGGTATAGCGAGGAAGTGATTCCCGTTCATCCTTGTCTTCGGATCATCAGCAACTGTGAGCAGTTCCTATCCACCCACACTTCACGACGCCTAATCACTATGGAGAAAATCAAAGAGCCAGAGGTATGTGCCCAAGATTGTTGGATTTTAAAGAACAGGGGGAAAAAAATTTTATTAGTTTATTAAATGACCAAAACAGACATAGAAGTGACCATGATGACAATGCAAACATATTTTTAACTGTATCCTGATGCATGCTCAATAATCCAGGTAGAAAAATCCAAAAAAGTTCAATCTGGTCCTCTGGACATTCAAAAAAAAAAAAAAACCAAAGCAAAAAAATGTAGAAACGTTTCGTCTCTCATCCGAAAGACTTCCTCAGTCTGAGGTGCTGTATTCAGCTCAGTCTCTTAAATAGCACCTTCTCAGAGTGGATCAACCAGTTTTGCTGCTGACAACCAAAACCAGCTGCTCACATGATCAAGAAGGACCATCAGCCTAACAATGGATCATTAGCACACTGATGGCTGTTTACTATTCACAGGGGGTTGAGTGATACTGGCAATAACAGCATTGTAAGAGGGGGACAGTTGAACCCGGAGGCCTCCACCCCTGTTTAATGATGGACGATTTCTTTTCACAAAGATGGCCTCCTTTACTCCTCTCTCAAACCATCGTTCCTCTCTGTCCAGGACGTGAACATCTTCATCCCTGAAAGAGTGACCGTTGGCCTGGAGATGAGTGTAGACCGCAGAGTCCTGGCCTGATTTGATTTGTTTCGCCTCAAACTTGTCCTAAATGCCGACAAAACCAAAGGGATGCTTTTTTCAAATAGGAAGTTGGTCCCAGCAGTTCTTCCTCCGATTTTATCCTCAAATGGTGTCCCCATTGAGTTTGTTGATTCCTATAAATATTTGGGTATCTTGGTCGACTCACATCTCTCTTTTAAGCTCCATGTGGAAAACTTGGTAAAGAAACTGAAAGTTAAACTGGGTTTCTTTTTCAGAAACAGATCCTGTCTAACCCTGAATGCTAGAAAACGCCTTGTATCTGTGACTTTCCTTCCCTCAATTGATTATGGTGATATTATTTACATGAACGCTCCTACAAGAACCTTGCAGATGTTGGATGCTGCAGATGTTGGATGCTGTCTATCATGGTGCACTAAGATTCATAACTGGCTGTGATTATCGTACCCACCACTGCACCCTATATTCACTGGTTAACTGGACATCATTAACTTCACGCAGACTCTCTCACTGGTGCATTTTCATCTTTAAATCACTTCTTGGTCTGCTGCCTTCATACATCTCCTCCTACATGTTTCTGCGTGAGTGCAGCTACAGCGTGCACTCTCAGGACATTATTACCTGCAGTGTTCCCTCAGTGAGGACTGAACTAGGCAAAAGGGCCTTCTCCTACTCCGCTCCTGTTTCCTGGAACATCTTACAAAAAGATTTGAAGCTCTCGACCTTGACCTCTCTAAGTGTCTTTAAGAATCTGTTGGACACCTGGCAGGGACCAATGCTGACATGTTCCTGTTTTTAGTTTTCTACATTTGTCTTGGAATCTAGCTGTTTTTTGTTTTGTTACCTTTTCCTTTTAGCCATCCTATTTGTTAAAAAAAAAACAAAAAAAACTGTAGTATGCTTTTTATAACTGTTTATTGTTGTTGCTGTTGTCCATTGTTGTCATCTTTCTTTGTTGAAATCAGGTCTCTCTTGTAAATGAGTCCTCGAGGCTCAATGGGATTTACCTGTATAAATAAAGGTTGATTGATTGATGATGTTGATCTTCTGTGCTGGGCCATCCTTTTTGTACCACAAACCCACCCACACATACCAGTATTTGCACTTTGACTACCATCACCCTTTGGAGCACAAGTTAGGAGTCATCAGGACTCTGTACCACAGAGCAGACAGCGTCCCCACTAGCTCAGGAGCCAGGCAGAAGGAGAAATCCTACACAAGACAGGCTCTAGAGCAATGTGGATATCCTAACTGGGCCTTCCTGAAAGCAGAGAAGAAACCCAAACGGGACTCCAGTCAGCCAACAGGTGAAAAGGAGGAACCCAGACCAGTGGTCATTCCGTATGTTGAGGGAGTATCAGAGAAACTGAGACGTTTATTTTCTAAACATAAGTCCCAGTGGCTTTTAAACCCCAAAATACATTACGGCAAAGACTGGTTCATCCCAAAGATCCAGTCCCCCGGCACAAACAGAGTAATGTTGTGTATGCTGTTCAGTGTCAGGAGGGCTGTGATCAGTCTTACATCGGGGAAACTAAACAGCCACTGGCCAAAAGGATGGCCCAGCACAGAAGATCAACATCATCAGGCCAGGACTCTGCGGTCTACACTCATCTCCAGGCCAGCGGTCACTCTTTCAGGGATGAAGATGTTCACATCCTGGACAGAGAGGAACGATGGTTTGAGAGAGGAGTAAAGGAGGCCATCTTTATGAAAAGAAATCGTCCATCGTTAAACAGGGTGGAGGCTTCCGTGTTCCACTGTCCCCCTCTTACAATGCTGTTATTGCTAGTATCACTCAACCCCCTGTGAATAGTAAACAGCCATCAGTGTGCTAATGATCCATTGTTAGGCTGATGGTCCTTCTTGAGCATGTGAGCAGCTGGTTTTGGTTGTCAGCAGCAAACTGGTTGATCCACTCTGAGAAGGTGCTATTTAAGAGACTGAGCTGAAAACAGCACCTCAGACTGAGGAAGTCTCTCGGATGAGAGACGAAACGTTTCTACATTTTTTTGCTTTTGTTTTTTGTTTATTTGTTAATGTCCAGAGGACCAGATTGAACTTTTTTGGATTTTTAACTGTAGTGTGAGAACTTGACCTATTCTCAAAGAAATCCTAACATGTGCCCTATTAGGTTTAAATATCGGTATGTAGTTTAATTTCCAATAAATAATTTTTACTTTTAGTATTTCTGTTCAACAGGTTATTTGAAAATGCACAGTAAAACGGCAACAAAAGTTAAGTATCCAGAAAGACTGGTCTGATTTAGATGTCATTTCGTACACATGCATGCTGGCCAACAGTACATATGTAAATGATTTAATTTGCAAACAGCTGGTAGATCTAGAATAAGCACCTGAAGGCACAAGTGGCGGCATAACGAGGTAAGTGATAGCATTATCAGGGAATTGCTTGAGTGCCCAGCAGTCAATCAAAACAGTGAGTGAAGTTCAGCAGTCAAAACATTAAACATCTTTACTAACAGCTGACAGAATCTGATAGAGGTGACACTGTGGTCCAGTGTTGCTATCAAATGGTACTCACGGACACCTAAACATATTGGAAAGTTATATAGCAGATCATGTTATTGTGCACTAAACATGACAGAACATCTGTGCCTGACATCCAGATTTGGTTATTGACATCTTTACAACACCTCATTTTATCCTGCACAGGGTCTTGAAGCCTGGCATTAGTCAGACTACAGCATCACCATCCATATCCATAGGCTATCAATCATTAACACCAGAGTTTGGCTGAGTTTGCTGTGATACTGTAACTAGGAGGTAAATACTGATGACAAGTGTCGCTCAATGAGCTCTATTTTTGATTATCAGTTCTGTGTCCCCACGTGTGTGCCTATATTGTGCTGAGGCGGTAGCACTAGTCATGTCGATGGTATGGAGAGACACATAGCTGGTACATCTTATATTATGATGTGGAGCCATACATTACTTTTTGATCACCTTAGGTGATTCTGGGGACCCTGATGGCACAGGACTACATCAGTGACATCTTCTGTATAGCTGCTTTGCCACTGATAAATATGACTTAAGTTGGTTCTCGTCTTATTGGTTCTTCTCAGGTTTAGGTGATTTGTCACTCTGACTTGTTTCTCTGCTCTGTGGGCGGGTTTGTTGATGTAAAGTGGGCAGGCATCGTAACTGTAATCTGACTTCAACTTTTTTAGCTTAGCCCAGCATTGCTTAAATGTCCGGGTGTAGTCCTGCTGCACCATCATCTCAAATATCTCGTAGTAAATTTGCTTGTTTCTTGTAGTGCTGTCCACCTTGTGCTGAATCCTCTCATCTGCCAATAAAGACAGAACAATCTGGACCTTGTTGGTCCACGACACTATTGGTCTTCCTTACTAAACTAGGAATTAGACAACTAGAACAAAAAATAGTAAAGAAAGAAACCGAACTTGGTGGGTCATCCGGTGACGTAGCTCCGCTAGCCAATAATTTGCTGCTGCATACTTACGTCAAAATCGTCACTTCAGAGCAGTTTGCTTAGAACCAAGATGGTCCCATAAACCGGGGTAGGTGGGGGTGGCAACAGGTAGTGGGGTAGACCCTTAAGTAGTGCAGTGCAGAACCACAGAGTGTTGAGACAGTGGCAAAGCACCATATGTGTCTTACCGCCCTAGTACTGTCCGTCAACAAGTCAACCCCCATCCACACACACTACATGTTGTCTATGGACTACCTGTCTTGTGTTCATCTAGGTCCTCTGATTTTCTCTAACCGAACAGAAGTGGGACCCACTTAGATGTCATTGCTGACCCAGTGTCAGTTTGCTGGATCTTGAGTACCACTTCCAGTTGCTGGGGGCCAACTTGGCACAGTAGGGGAAACAACTGTATGACTCCAAATCTGCACTAAATCCATGCTTGTATTCAGGCTGAAGGAGCTGCCGCTTCCTACTGCGTAGAACGTAATGCAGCCCCATGACCTTTCAACATGCACAGTTTCATTTCCACCACTTTGTCAGGTTGCGTAACATTTTTGTATGAGTCTATTTTTGGACACATCCTTTTTTTTATGTGTGCCTGTTGTTTACAGCATTCTAAATTTTTGTCTTATCTGTTAACTGGAAGTGCAAGTATATCACTATTAACTTAAATTTAGTTTTGCAATGGCCTTATTGAATACTACTGACTCATGAGCCATAGAGTTTGTGCACGCACACACGTGCGCATAAGCAGCAGCACAGATGCCTGAATGTAAAGTGAGAACACATGTGTCTGTCTGCTCTTCAATGCATTCACCATATCTTCCAAAAATGGTATGTATATGTAACAACGTAGGCATGCTCTGAGTACATGTATGTGCATATGTTTTCACATGTCGTCCCTCTGGAAGTGATGGTGTCGGCCTCTATGGTAAATCCCCACCATCTGGCTGTGATTGGCTCATTTATTTTATACTGGAACCCTAAACGGCCTAATCACGTCACATGGAAAACAATCCATCTTTAGATCTGACATCCATTCCACTTCAAAAACCCAAATTGCTCCCATAAATGGCACGTTTGACACACACATACAAAGTTGTGTGATCTTATCTGACTAGTATCTGTCTCAGGTTGCATTTTCTCTTTTCCAAATACCATAAGTTTTAAATTACCCGTAGCTGCATTGTTTATTCGGGTTCACAGCTATGTTTGTTTGTTTGTTTTAAATGTTTATTTGGCATTAACTTGCCTGTTTGTGTCCTTGTTTATGTGTGTATTATTACTAATAATGTTTTATTTTATTAAAAGGACTGTGAAAAGGCGGTCTGATTCATAAAGTGTAAGGTGTACTTGATGACATATATAGCTTGTTGTTTGCCTAATTTATTATTAAATCCAAGTTATGTTCACTGTATTTGTTGGTGATGATTTATGTTTATCAGTTTTTTAGTTTTTTTTTTCTTATCAGACAAAGCGTCCTTGTGGATTAATTTTCCTAATGTATTTTATACTGGTTTCGTTTCTCTCTCTCTGTGTTTTTGCCTAATACAAACAAAAATATGGTATTCTCCCCATCAAACACTAATTGCTTTGCTGGCAGCCTGAGCCTTTAAATCTTTACTTGTTTATAACACAAGGTCAGAATTTCTACCCAGTTTAGTTTGTTATTTGTCTAAACGAAATGAGAATTTATCGTTTTAGTTTATTGGCCAAACACTTTTGCCAGTAAAACAACAGTTATGCATGATGTACAGGTCCTTCTCAAAAAATTAGCATATTGTGATAAAGGTCATTATTTTCCATAATGTAATGATAAAAATGAAACTTTCATATATTTCAGATTCATTGCACACCAACTGAAATATTTCAGGTCTTTAATTGTTTTAATACTGATGATTATGGCATACAGCTCATGAAAACCCAAAATGCCTGTCCCAAAAAATTAGCATATCATGAAAAGGTTCTCTAAACAAGCTATCCAGAAGGCCATCATTGACACCCTCAAGCAAGAGGGTAAGACACAGAAAGAAATTGCTGAACGAATAGGCTGTTCCCAGAGTGCTGTATCAAGGCACCTCAGTGGGAAGTCTGTGGGAAGGGAAAAGTGTGGCAGAAAACGCTGCACAACGAGAAGAGGTGACCGGACCCTGAGGAGGATTGTGGAGAAGGGCCGATTCCAGACCTTGGGGGACCTGCGGAAGCAGTGGACTGAGTCTGGAGTAGAAACTTCCAGAGCCACTGTGCACAGGCGTGTGCAGGAAATGGGCTACAGGTGCTGCATTCCCCAGGTCAAGCCACTCTTGAACAAGAGACTGCGTCAGAAGCATCTCGCCTGGGACTGCTGCTGACTGGTCCAAAGTTATGTTCTCTGATTACAGTAAATTTTGCATTTCCTTTGGAAATCAAGGTCCCAGAGTCTGGAGGAAGAGAGGAGACACATAATTCACATTGCTTGAGGTCCATTGTCAAGTTTCCACAGTCACTGGGGTGTCATGTCATCTGCTGGTGTTGGTCCACTGTGTTTTATCAAGGGCAGGGTCAATGCAGCTAGCTATCAGGAGATTTTGGAGCACTTCATGCTTCCATCTGCTGAAAACCTTTATGGAGATGAAGATTTCATTTTTCAGCACGACCTGGCACCTGCTCACAGTGCCAAAACCACTGGTAAATGGTTTACTGAACATGGTATTACTGTGCTCAATTGGCCTGCCAACTCTCCTGACCTGAACCCCATAGAGAACCTGTGGGATATTGTGAAGAGAAAGTTGAGAGACGCAAGACCCAACACTCTGGATGAGCTTAAGGCCGCTATCGAAGCATCCTGGGCCTCCATAACACCTAAGCAGTGCCACAGGCTGATTGTCTCCATGCCACGCCGCATTGAAGCAGTCATTCATGCAAAAGGATTCCCGACCAAGTATTGAGTGCATAACTGAACATGATTATTTGAAGGTTGGCGTTTTTTGTATTAAAAACACTTGTCTTTCATTGGTGGGATGAAATATGCTAATTTTTTGGGACAGGCATTTTGGGTTTTCATGAGCTGTATGCCATAATCATCAGTATTAAAAAAATTAAAGACCTGAAATATTTCAGTTGGTGTGCAATGAATCTGAAATATGTGAAAGTTTCATTTTTATCATTACATTATGGAAAATAATGACCTTTATCACAATATGCTAATTTTTTTAGAAGGACCTGTACATGATACAGTTAGGATGGTGTTTCTGCCAGTTTGTTGTGGATGCATAGAAGATATGTTCCTCTACATATAGAACGACTGTGCAAAAATACAACTCGATCACTTTTTATACACCTGTCGAAAGACTGATGTATTCTGGTATAGTCCTTGTCCCCATGACAGTAAACTCTCTCTTGTCCTGCCCGTAACGTCTGATCTGCTCAAAGTAATTTAATGAAACTTCATACACATATGCATCATCATTTGACAGTGTGCCACATGCACAGTTCATTATCCCAACTCCAAGTTCAAGGTAACAAATCATGGTCAGATTTTATACAAGGTCTTTGCTTGTCCCATCCATTCCTATAGATTGCTGTGTTGCTGTACAATAGTTTTTTGACGGGTGTACTCTTTATTAACATAAGATGATATTAGTTTAAGTTCTCATTTAGTTTAGTTTGAGTTCCTGTGACTCAATGAGACTACCTGTATAAATAAAGGGTAAATGGAAAAAAAAAAGAATGAGTGAAAGGAGCTGGGCGATATCCATTGCTTCAGGAAAAGTTCTGTTAAAATTTTTTAAACTTTAGAGTTTTGGTAGGTGTCAAATGAATTGCATTTCAAGTTCCTATCAATACAGTCTCAATTTTTAGGTTGTTTCTTCAGAATGGTCATGATAAATGTTTTCAGGTTGCTTTGCAGTATTAGGGAAAAAAAGGTGGATTCTGTTAGGGAATTTTTGGTTAAAGTTATGGATCTTTTTAACTACCACGGCTGAGAATGTTAACTCTGCCCATGAATCATATGTTTGGGCTAGTAGAAAGCTGGATTAGGAGCTGGGTGAGGCTGCTATGTACAGTTGTCTCTTCAAGGACGCCTCCGAATCTGAACTTGGATGAACTGATAAGCGTATAAAAACAAGCTTCGCACACTGCCCATGGCAGATTCTTGTGACTGGGCTTCATGTGTGTACTTTTGTATATCTATGTAACCTGCCCTGAAAATCTGTCTTTAAAAGTAAATACTTGTTAAAAATCTTCTCCTGCCGTCGAGTGTGGCTCCTTTTGAGTGAGTGAGATAAAGCGAGAATGTTTTTCCCCCAACAGATTAATCAATTCCAGCTCTGCTCCCCTCATTCTTTCTCTTTTTGTATCTTTGGTCTACCCTTCATGCCTCTGTCTGTCAGGCTGTGACTCACAGCAAAGACAAATGTGTTATTAAAATAAAACAAATAAATATTAACTGGCATAATATTAACTGGTTCTTAAAATCTTAAAATCTAAAAATGACAAACCTGTAAATGGAAAATTGTCAGTTGCTTTTTCATTTAGATTTTTAGTTTATATAATAATTATCACGTGTGCAAAAGAAAAAAAAAAGACAGCACTTTAACACTATTCAGGTGAAGTTAACATATTTATTTTTCTTTGTGCAGGAGTTGGATGGCCTCACTCATCCGATGGACGCCGGCGTCAGCCTCTACCAGGGACACAACACCTTCAGAGAGAAATATTTTAGTGGACGGAACAAAAGGTCTGGCAGGGAGGACACAAGATCAGATGTTGATGAAAAATAAACTTTGTTAAAGGCCTTTAGCAAAATCCTTTTAACTTGTTCATATTTATTTGTTCATTTAGGTCATAAACGGTGGTAAAATCTTTTTTTTTTT